GGGGCCTGCGGGAAACTAGGCTGTTGGGCTCAAGGCTGGAGGGGCGTGGTTTTGTAGCACCTGCCCAGTCCCGCCTGAGCGCTGGGCGGCCACCGGGGGCGCTGTGGGCGGGGCCGTGTCGCCTACCCAAAGCACCCAGGCCACGCCCCTGGATCTCCAGGCCACGCCCCAGAGGACCCGGCCAAGTTCTGATCACAAATATACACATACCTAGAGAATTTCGAATCAGAGAATATTATAGTAATAGCTAACATTTATCGAACACACTCTGTCGGGCCCTGTATGTCAAACTTCCCATTTTCTCACTTAATTTTCAAAAACCCTTTGAGGTGGAGGCAGAGGGCGAGGGTGTAAGATGAGAGCTGAGTCTCCCATCGCACCCCACTCCCCTCCTCAGACCCACCCTCATCTCTTAGAACCCGAGAATCCTTAACCTGTGGACTCTTCGACCTTCTATCTCAGACAAGCAGAAACTGGGTCTTTGAAGTCAGGATGGCGAGGTCTGCCTCCCAGCCCCTTGCGTTGCTGCCTTGCGTTGCTGCCCTCTCGGAGTCTGCCTCAGTTTCTTCCTCCGGAAAGTAGGATGAAAATCCATTGGCCTGGCAAAAATTCAAAATTTTTACTATGCCAAGTGTTGATAAAGAGCTGATGGAAGTGTAAATGCACAAAATTACATTGGAGAGCAATTTGGCAAACCTTTGACAGGGCGAGCTCTACATCCTTTAGAGCTGTGGCTTGCAAACATTTCCCTCGCATCGGGACATTATACACCTGAAACAAACAGTTTCACAGGGTAATCCTTGCCCCTACATGTGCTCTAATATTTTCTAGTCTATTAAATTCCATTTCATTAAAGGGACAATCATTTGCAACCCACTAAATTGATTTCACAACCCACTAATGGATTTTGTTGGGCAGGTTGAAAAATATTGCCTAAAAAACTCCAAGAGACACGTTTCAAGATGTTAATTGCAGCCTTGTGGGAAATGGAGAAACCTGGAAACAAGGTAGCTGTTCATCACCAGAAGGGATTGTGGTATATTCTCACAAAGGACTCCCATGCAGCAATTCAAATAAATGAATTGGGCACACATAACAATAGCATGAATCATAAAAACATAATGATGAGTATACTGGGTTGAATAGTGCCCCCTCCAGCCCCCCACTCCCTATTCATGTCCTCAGGAACCTGTGAATATTAACTTATTTAGAAGCAGAGGTTCTTAACAGGTGTAACCAAGTTAAGATGAGGTTATACTTAATTAGGGTGAATCCTTAATCTAATATGACTGGAAATTTGGACACAGACACAGGTACACTCACAGGGAGAAAACCATGTGATGATGAAGGCAGAGATTGGAGTGATGCATTTATAAGTTGAGGAATGCCAAGGATTGCTGGCAAACACAAGAATCTGGAAGAAGCAAGGAAGGATCATACCCTAGAGCCATCAGAGGGAGCCCCGCCCTGCCAACACCTTGATTTTGGGTTCCTAGTTTCCAGAAGTGTGAGAGAATACATTTTTGTTGTTTAAGTCACTCAGTGTGTGGTCTTTTGTTGCAGTAGCCCAATGAGTTAAAAAAAAAAAGTGCAGAAGAATTAACACAGCACAATATCATTTATACCAAGTTTGAAAACCTGTAAAACCAATGGTCTATATTATTGGGATATACATACATATATGATAATAGTAAGAAAATATGTGTGGTAATGCTGAACGTTAAATGCAGGATATAGAGAAGGAAAAGGATGTACTCTGAGAAGGATACACTGGGACTTCAACAATATCATTAATGTGGGCCGGCCGAGTGGCTCAGTTGGTTAAGAGTGCAAGCTCTGAGCAACAGGGTCTCCAGTTCGATTCCCACATGGGCCAGTGATACTGCACCAGAGCTGAGCTACAGCTGATCTGCCAACAGGTGGCAGGATGGCTCAGCTGGTAAGAGCACATGCTCCTAACAACATGGTTGCCAGTTCCACTCCCACATGGGATGGAGGGCTACACCCACCCCCAACTAAGATTGAACATGGCACTTTGAGCTGAGCTGCCCTGAACTGCTGAAGGGCGGCTGGATGGCTCAATGGTTACAGCGTGCACCTTGGCAACAAGATTTCCGATTAGACTCCCTGCAACTAAGATTGAACATGACACCTTGAGCTGAGTGGCTGTGAGCTACAGACAAGCTGCCGGATGGCGACTGGACTTGGAGCTGAGCTAGCTGCTCCCTCCACAACTAAGACTGAAGGACAACAACTTGGCTGTTCCCCTTCCCCAATTCCCCAACACTGTTCTCCTTCCCCAGTTCCCCAATAAAATCTTAAAACAACAACAATATCATTAATGCTTTAATTTAAAAAATCTGGATCAAATATGGCAAAATGGTTAAGAGTTCATATAGTTGCCTAGTGAATAATAGAAAAAGATACTCAATATCATTATCAGTTAGGGAAATGCAAATCCAAACCGCAATGAGATCTCACTCCACACTAGGATGGCTATAATAAAAAAGACAGACAATAGTAATTATTGGAGAGGCTGTGGAGAAGTTGGAACCCTCATACACTGCTGGTGGGAACGTAAAATGGAGCAGCTTCTTTGAAAAACAGTCTGGCAGTTCCTCAAAAGGTTCAACATTGTTACCATATGACCTAGTCTTTCCACTTCTATGTATATATCCCAGAGAATTGAAAACATATATCCACACAAAGATTTGTGAAAACAACCTAAATGTCCATCAACTGATAAATGGGTAAATTAAATGCAGTATACCTATACAATAAGTATTATTTGGCTATTAAAAGAAATGAAGGGCTGGCCAAGTGGCGCATTGGTTAAGAGTTGTCTTGGGGGCCGGCTGAGTGGCTCAGTTGGTTAAGAGCTCGCTCAAGAGTTTGAGCTCTGAGCAACAGCGGTTCGAGTCCAGCCCGAGCTGAGTAGCCGCTGAGCTGCCAACAGGTAGCAGGATGGCTCAGCTAAAAAACAAACAAACAAAAACCAAAAAAAAATAAAGAGTTGTCTTGGGATGCCAGCTCTGAGCAGCAGGGCCCTAGTTCGGATCCCACATGAGGGCCAGTGACCCTGCGCTCTCTACAGCTAAGATGGTGAACAACAGCTCAAACTGAAGCTGGTCTGCCGTGAGTTGCCAGCGGCCAGGGATGGTAGGCTGCAGCCCCTGCAGGCTGCAGTGAGCCGCTGTGAGGGGCCATCCAATGGCCTGCGAGCGACTTCCTCACCCTGGAAGATTGCAGTGAAAATACCAACATGGGCCAGTGAAGTGACGTCCTCCACAACTAGACTGAAGAACAAAAGGACAGCAACTTGTCTGTTCCCCTCCCCCAATTCCCCAAAAAAATCTTAAAAAAAAAAAAAAAGGAATGAAGTACTGATAACATGCTACAACGTGAATGAACCTCAGAAACATTATGCTAAGTGAAAGAAGTCAGTCACAAAAGACCACATGTTGTGTGATTCAATTTATATAAAATGTCCAGAATAAGGGCCTGCCGTGTGGCTCAGTTTGTTAAGAGCTCGCTTGAGAGTGCCAGCTCTGAGCAGCAGGGCTGCAGTTCTGATCCCACATTGAGGGCCAGTGATGCTGGCCCTCTACAGCTAAGATGAAGAATAACAGCTCAGCCTGGAGCTGGGCTGCTGTGAGTCACCGGCGACGGCATAGGCTGCAGCGGGGCTGCAGTAGGCTGCCGTGAGCTACATGAGTGGCTGGCAGCCAGCGTGAGCGGCCTGCAGCCGGTGTGAGCTGCTGGGAGCCGCTGTGAGCGGCCGACCAATGACCGGAGACCGATCTGCCTCATCCGGGAAGAGCACAATGATCATACCAACATGGGCCAGTGAAGCGAAGCCCTCCACAACTAGACTGAAGAACAAAAACAGCAATTTGTCTACCTGTCTGTCCCCCTTCCCTGATTCCCCAACGCTGTTCCCCTCCCCTCAATTCCCCAATAAAATCTTTAAAAAAAAAATGTCCAGAATAAGCAAATCTATAGAGACAGAAAGTATATTAGGGGTTGTCTAAGGCTAAAGGGGTATGGGGGTGAAGAAATATTTTAAAATTGATCTGGTGATGATCGCACCACTCTTTGAATTTACTAAAACCATTGAATTATACACTTTAAATAGCTAAATTGGTGGGTATATGCATTATCTCAATAAAGCTGTTAAAAATTTTTCAAGGGGAGGCCAGACCCCAGGGTAGCCA